GCCGAGCTCTGGAAGACTCCAGGAAACAGACATCGTCTTATCATTCTCGTATCTCTTGGTTTCTTTTCCCAATGGTCAGGAAATGGTCTTGTCAGGTGAGTTGGTACCAATCAAATATATTGTAAAATCAAAATTGACATCATATTTAGTTACTACATTAACATTGTACTGGAACAAATCGGTATCAAGAGCTCAACTACCAAACTTTTGATCAACGGTATCCTTCAGATCGTCAACATGATTGTGGCCACAGGAATGTGCTTTTTTGTTGATCGACTTGGTCGACGTTTATTGTTTTTGGTGTCCACAGCAGGAATGCTTGGTGTCTTCATTGTCTGGACAATATGCTCGGCTCAATTTGCAATGCACGGAAGCAAGGCCTCTGCAAATGCGGTAGTTGTCATGATCTTCCTCTACTACGTCTTCTACAATTGTGCGTGGTCAGGTCTTTTGGTTGGCTACAGTGTAGAGATTTTGCCATACAATATTCGTGCAAAGGTAATGAATCCCCCCCCCCTACTCTTCGCTGACGTTGCTGATCAAAATCATAGGGAATGACCGTCATGTTCTTGGCCGTTGATCTCTCGTTATTCTTCAACCAATATGTTAACCCAATCGCTTTGGACCATCTTCACTGGAAGTATTACATATTCTATTGCGTATGGTTGACCTTTGAGCTCTTTGTTGTCTGGAAGTTTTATATCGAGACACGAAATACTCCTTTGGAAGAAATTGTGAAACATTTCGATGGAGAAAATGCGCTCGTTGGTGGTCAAGCTGCGACCGAGAAAGCAAGAATTATTGCCGCGGAACATGATCTGCAGCTTGGTGCTGAGACTAGTAATGGTGGTTTGGACGAAAAGGCAGCTGCTCACCATACAGAAGAGAGAATTGTATGATTTTGATGTTGTTAAGGCGAGGAGCGAAAGGGCGTGTAAAGCTTGAATAGAGCTAGATACGGTGACAGTAATTGGCGAATACAAGTAGTAGCTTTAATATCCACTGAGTTCTTCTATTCAGTCCCTTCAAACACGTTTCGTTGTGATTGATAGCATGTATGTGTTGACGAGGTCTGCTTTGCAAGTCCCACATAGTCGGGGAACGGATAAAGTTAAATATCTCGTTCATGAGCCCTTGAAAATCGTTTCGATCCGGGGAACTTTGCCGTCTGCAAGTTATCAGATTTGGGACGACTTGTCCTCAAAATTCACGTTCTGTCTTGGTTCGTAAGATGCGAGTACCTCTCCTAATTCCGGGCCCATTGAAACACATATCCTCTTTAGTGCTTCCCTCTGTAATTTGACGAGCTTTTTCCAGCAAGCACGGATATTCCCGAAATTTTCGCCTCCCATCAATTGACCCCCAGCACGAGCATTCTTGCTACAAATCCCAAGATTAACATTTGCGATTCCGCGACTCAATGAACATTTTCAATTCTGTAGCCGCATCTTTGACAACGTCCTCCATCTCTTCCTTTGCTGTCAACAAAGGATAATATGCCGCAATTCCCTGCACGGTTGACCAAGTCCTATACTCGCAAACATTCGTTCTACCTTTCACAGGCACAACCTCCTGGACTCTCTCTGAGCCCAAAAGCCAATTGGGGTACTGAGTGGTCTTCGCGACCATCTTTTTGTGCACTGGATCCAGCATGGTCAACATAACAGGTACACGACGATCCCGTATATCTACAACCCGAAACTAGATTTTCGAATTAGATTTTTCATACAACGTTCTACACAATGAGGAGTGTCTTACGGTATACATCCCCATAGCGCCCACGACTGGCAGTTTTTCCTGATCATGCTCGAATTCATACTGGGAATATCCATTTCCGTATTTTTTGAAAGAAGTTATGACACGGAAGACATCGTCTGCAGATGCATTGATCTTGACACTTGCATAGGTTGTGAAGACGGCATCATCCTTCTTGATGGAAGGTGTAGCAATGAGACTTTTCTCATCGACGTAATTCTGAACGAGAAGCACAATGATGAAGAGTAAACATATAATAAGAAAGACTAGAAACCAAACGAGGTAGGAGGACAGATCCATCATCATGAAGAGATAGTTTGGTGAATATAGAAATAGAAGATATATGAAGAAATTTGAATGCGATGGATGTTTGAATACAATGGATGGAGATTGAAGAATCTTCTTTGATACTTGTACCTCAAGAAAGAGCTCTCTTTCCAGATTGATTTTTCTTTTTCTTTTTCATTTTCATTTTCATTTTCATTTTCATTTTCATTTTCATTTTCATTTTCATTTTCATTTTCATTTTCATTTTCATTTTCATTTTCATTTTCATGTCATGACCTACTCATCCGTCATACATACCAGGACGATCCATAACTAATACAAAGAAAGTTCCGTCTGTGGACTGTATTAACTCTATATGCCGAATATATATACCTATATAGGTATTATTCGTTCGCACCGGAGAGTGAAAAATGTTGAAATTTGCCGGAACATCGGAATTCATTCGTACACCCGTACAGGACGACCCAAATCATCTTAGCGGCTTCTTTATCCTACTACCTACCTACCTAGTGACTAGTCTCCACGTGAGATTACCAGAGATTACCAGAGATTGAGCTCGCAATTGTAATTTATCATAAATTGTATTAAGAATCTCACCAGTTTACCTACCTAGTATATCTACCTAGTATATTATCTACCTAGTATATCTATCTACCTAGTATATCGACTCAGTATATCTACCTAGTATATATGTCATCTTTCATTCCCTCAATAGCTCCCTCCTCATTTGATATCTTTATATAAATTCCCATCATCTATCGTCGTCGCATTCACCAGGTATATGCATTCATTTTCTCATTTCCATGTTCTAGATCACATCTCTCATCTGATGTACAAGTCAAGCTTCAATTGAAGGGTACTTACTACCTACGGAGTAGGGACTTATGAACCACTTCATCACCCCACTATTGGATCAACCGTAGCTAACCCTAGCCCACCTTAACAGATAAGATTGTTACCATTACCATTACCATTATCATTAACCTTACCTTCCGTGGCACATTCGCACAATTCAAAATCATCCGAGAAACCAACCGCATCAATTCTTCAACTCCTCAAACCCCTCAGCCGCGCACACCACACACACATACGCAAAATGGATACCTCGAAAGTTTCAATCTTCAAGACGTACGATAAACCTCGAGGTCAAGGAGGCGCAAGTTCATTCGCGACCTTCATGATCATCGGTCGTAAGTTTTTCCCATGAAACTCGATTGAATAGTAACCCCAATTGACACATCACAGCTGTATGCTTCTTCCTCGGGATCCTCTTTTCCTCATTCCCTTACGATTATCCTCTTCTCTGGACCACCGAAAGTACTCCTGATGCCTACTACAGCTTCATCGAAGAGCATTTGAAATTCATGCACGCTTCTCCACCCATCATTCCACGTATCCTCCACATTGTCGTCTCAGTTGGATTTATCGGACTCTTCATTAAGCTCTTCAAGCCTTCGGAAGCTAATCTTCTATTCGATGGCGCATCACTCGTTCTCTATGTCGTAGGCGTCGTGGTTTACATCACCAATATTGTCAAGGGTATGCGCATTGTAACACTTGGATTATATGGCGAGGCTGGTGCGCCAGAAGGAGAATCAGGTGTAGGACGAGAAGATAGTTTGAGGGTTTTGGCAGCCAGTAACACGATCTTAGCTTTGGTATTGGTGGGCGTGTTGGTGTTGCAAGCGGGTCAATGGTATGCCGAGCGCAAAGATCAAGATGAGGCTGAAAAGTTTGAGAAAGAAGAGCAGGAAAAGAAGGAATCGGAGAAGAAACAGAGGAGTGGAAGTGGTCACGTAACGAGATCGGTTTCGAAGAAGAGACAGTGAGGGATGTCTCAATTGGAGGATTGTGTATCTATGGTGGATAGGGCACGAATTTATGTGTAGTAATATTCTCTGGCTCGTTTTATACCAAGAAATCTATTCTCAATTAAAGCAAATACTCTTGCCACCATCAAGAAAAACTTATATCTACGTATCCAATGTGCTTTGTATCTTGGGCTTTGGCGAATCCTTGTTAATTTACTAGGGCCCCTTTCATTACCTTCATCCTCTCGTTCGTTCTCTTCGTCTCCACGTACACACATTCAAACCTAGCCGAATATTTGACAATTTTGGAATTTTGATATAGAGAACCTCACTCAAGCATGAACATGACACCAACGCCAATCATCATCTTCACTCGCTAATACATTCTACTTTCTAACTCTCTCTTTACTCTACATCACATCATATCACATCACATCACATCACACACCTCACACACCTCACCACGTACTCAGAAACCCAATTCAATTTAATTTACTTCAATATACATTACTATCAGCATCTCAACAAACTTAACACCCAGCGCAACCCTATCCAAAATACTATCAAATTCCTGTAACTCATCGATCGGTAACACGATTGAAGTGAGATACGATATCTATATCCTTTTTCCTAGATGTAGCACTCCAGATGTAAACTTAGAACTTTAGATATTTGTTTCCCTTCCTGAAATGATATGGTATGCCTGTCTTCCCCTCCATATATGCGCCGTGATAACCTTCGCATAGAACTTGTTGCGAGTAGAGGAGTCAATGAGTAAGATTTTGGAAGAAGCTCAGAAAATAGAGAACCCAGAACCATGAGATGATGCGTCTAGATATCTATATCTTTTCTTGCAGATGTAGAATTCTAGATGCTTGGTTCCCCTCCTGATATGCGCCGTTATGATTTTCGTGTAGAGCCTGATTTAAATAGAAAAGTGTACGAGTAATATATCAAAGGAAATTCGCAAGTAGAAAATCGAGGACGATGGGACGATGAGTCCAGTGAGCTTATATCGAGAGACATCATGAAGTCTTTGACAGTCTGTTAGCAAGCGAATCTTCAGCTTCCCACACTCATGATATCCTTCCAGAACAAACCCACATTTCAAAACCCAATCCTTACTCCCTCGGATCCCCCACCTCCCTAAATCTCCCACAAGATATTCGTCTGAACATACAATCCAAAATCAAGGCTATTCAACTGCAATCCCCTCTCAATCCTCTCATGCATCAACCAAACCTTCGCCTGATTCTCAAACTGTTTAAACTCTTGATATCCCATACATTGCTTGCTTCCCTTTGCCATACCCACACTCTTCCAGTCCTTCTTCTCAAGCTCACGCGGAGAACCGCGATCCGACATACAGCGATTACTTCTCCCATAGGCTCTCACCACCGCAAATATATATTCGAGATGAGGAAAACGATCCAAGATTTTCTTGAACACCTTGTCGAATTTGTGTTGCACATTTTCTTCGGCCCATTTTTGGAGTTCCATAGCGTTCAGTTCTTCAAAGGGTGTATATCCTGAGTAATTGAGGGAGAGGTTGATACCAACCGATCGAATGTTGTCGAAGAAGTGAGGAAGGACAGACGCGGGAGGGAAAACTGGCTCGCCGGGACGTGGGGGAGAAGGGGGTGCTGCGGCTGCGGCTGTGGCTGCATTTGTAGCGACAGTAGCGGCAAGAATGCCTGTATTTGAAGCGGGAATATGATGCATGTTCTGAGTTATCATATTCCAAGTTGCCGTGTGGGCGTTTGCGACATGAGCAGGTGCATGTAAACGACGACGTACTCGCCCAAGTCTCCTCTATGTAATCATTAGCCAAAGGGATCAAGATGGATTATGGTAAATGCTTACAGAACGAATCCATTCCTCATCTTCTTCGATTTTATGGAGTTTCTTTTCCTCGGCTGCCAATTCCTGTTGCATATACTCTGAACTAAACTGTATGGGACAGTAAGATGGCGAAGGACAAAATGACTCACGACCGAATTTCAAGATAAAGTCATCGCTAATGGGGTTGACATAGAAATAAGGCGTGTTGACTTGTTTGGGGTCGGTGAAATCATGCAGGACTCCTTTGTCGTCAACAGCACAGAAATATTCCTGGCCATATTTTCGTGCTTGATGACATGCATGCATAAAAGCTGGTGTGGAAGGACAGTTTTCGAATTTGAAAATATTTTGCTGCAAATACATAACGATGGTACGCCTGGCTTGAAGAGCACTAAAGTGCCAAATGCTCATCTGGATTTCTTCAGGAAAGGTTTGAAATTTGTCAAAAAACACGAGAGGTGTTCCATCTTCTGCGAGCTCAAAATCGGAGGTATTCATTGTCAGCCCTGCTACATTTTCTTCTCTTGAGGGGGAAGGAGAGAAATTCTGATCGTTGTCTTGGTTGTCCTGGTTGTCGGAGGAACCATCGAAGTCTTGAAAGGCGCCGTAGTCTTCTTCTTCTTCTTCTTCTTCTTCTCCTTCTCCTTGGTCACTATCAAACGTGTTAGAATCATCAAAGTCCTCATGATCAGAAGTGCCCCCCATCTGGCTGTCATTTGAGCCAACACGCTCAGTATCCGATATTTCGGTCATGCTTTCTGAGAATGATGTGTGTAAGATATAAAGTCGGCGAAATAGTGAATTTGTTGCCTCTTAAATCAATGTATAAAACACTCTTTTGATGGTGCGAAGATGCCAGCAATTAACAATTCCAAAAAGGTTGAAGACCTTAATGAAATAGAAAATCTGTCCTGTGAATTTTTTAAATGTGTAAGTGTGTGTGGAACGAACTACCACGTAGCTAGATTTCGGCTAGGCTCACAGTCCAGACTACTAAGTAGCTAGTTACTTTTTGATCCTCCTCAACTTTCAAATGCGATGAAAGTGGTTTCCAAGACGAAAGTCAAGATAAAAGTGGGAATAGATATGCCTTTTAATATGATCGTCAGGCTTTTGAGTAGTTTGCGAGTTCCCTTCCTGAGGTCTGATACCTCTATGGTGGGCAAAGTTAACCATTAATTCTATTAGCAACTCGATGTTCTTTTACTCTGACGATCATTCGAGAAGAAATTTGAAGCGAGGGCTAATAATGTAGGTATAGTCTGCCATATACTTGAGTGTCTTAAGATGCTGTACCCTATACGGGTGTCAGAAGAACATCACCATCATTATCATCGATAATTAATGGAAGTCACATAGCGAAATCACCACTGCAAGCAGAGCAGAGAAGCTCGATACAACAAAAAGAATAATAAGACTTATGAACGAATACTTCTTAATTATATTGTACATCCTCTTTCCCTCATAGCCCAATAGAAACCTTGTCTCCCACCTTGATGACTGGGAATTGATGTTCTTTCTGAGGTGACAATGAAGGAACATGACACATATGAGAACCGAAGAAAACCTTAGATTCGAACCTTCGTATTTTTGCCAACGTAACAAAAGGTTCTTCGTTCTTTTCGGCAGTATCCTGATCAACACATATCATATGACAACGCCTACAAGATCCTAACATTTGATACTTTTCTGAACCAATATGTAAGGTACTCCAATGATCTTCACTATAGGGATGATGGGAATCGGTCGATTCAGTTGATGCTAGTACAACATTTCCTCGAAAGACCGAGGCTGAAGCAAGTTTACCGCCACTCTTGGCTATTTCTTCGTTTAGCTTATTGATACTCGATCGATTAATGACAAGTATGGGACTTTCATTCGATAGAAGAATTGGACGTTTTCGATTCTCACTATCAGAATCCGGTGGTGTTGGAGGGTCGTGAAAGGAGTGGGTACTCGATTTTTCAATCACGACCGAACGTTTTGGTCCCTGGTGCTTTTGCATGTGTGCCTTTGCATGTCTCGACGAAGGACCACTACCGCCAGCAGGAAATCTTACCAAAACACAAGGTACCTCTAGAACTTTAGAGAAAAAGTCATTAATTTCATGACTAGAGTAAGTTTGTGCTGCGATGGCATCTCCGCAGACCCTTGATGATAATAAATGAGTGTTATTTGGATTTTTGTAAAATGACGGGTCAGATGATAAAGAGACATCGATTTCATGCGTCAAAATAGGGAAGGATGATCCTTCATATCGAACCTTCAGCAATCCTAAATCAAAGTCGATTGTTGGTTTGATGAGAGCCATTCGAGGATAACGTTTTTGACTTAATGCTTGCCCAGTGCCTTGATGAATAAGACACCATTCTCTATCCCAAGCAAGGCCTTCGGGCCTAACTTCCCAAGCAGTTTCCTTCGGGATCTCAAAGCCACCACAACTTTTAATTGGATAAATTGTAAGACTTTCCACATACATGTCAACCGATTTGTGACTTTCGGTTTCCTCATCGGTGGATACAGTTGTGTGGTCCACAAAGAATTCATCCACAAATGAAAGAAACGACTCAACATCGCTCATCGTGCTCATGGCTCCTAAGCTCACACGAATAACCCCCGTTATTTTGCCTGCATAAATGTCGGCCTCTCCACCACATCGGAGTCCAGCCGAGAAATTTCTTTTCGTTTCCCATGGTTGAAGCTCCAGTGCCGATGCAACACCACCAGGATTACAAAGACCGCCTGTTCGAATGTGGTAGTTTCTTATCGAAGCCAACCTCTCAAACTCAACATTAGTTACCCACGCCCCGAAACTGTTCTTGACGTTGAACGCTATTGTAGGTCCTTGTACATTGGAGGAAGTTTCGGAGGAGAAGCCGGGGGAATAAATTATACAAGCCGGTTCGGAGTTAGCATGCCGTAATGATTTCAGACCTTCGTACAGTTTCCGTGCAAGAAATGTGGTATGATTTGCAATACGTTCCATGGAACCATACAATGATTTGTGAACATCTATTGCTGCTTCCAGTGCCATGATATTATGGAAAGGCAGAGTACCATCTTCTAGTGTTTCATGCAAGGATTGCCCTTTCGGAGCATGCCACTGCTCTTTCAGACACACTACCACTTCGACAGTTCCGCCTCCAAAATACTTCCTGGTTTGAAGTATCGCTCCAGAATCTCTACGCACTATCAAGGCACCGAGATCGGGGAATCCAAATATCTTGTAGAAACTAAGGACCGTAAAATCTGGTGCCTTACTAGCATCACTCAAGTCTAGTGGAGAAGTAGAAACTAGAGCAGAGGCATCTAGTAATGTATATGTAGCTGCCTGGGTTTCAAAACTAAGATTCCGGACTCTTTCTGGCCAAGACAGTGGTAGACGCCGACCGTCTAAGTTTGATTGTGCTGGATATGCGAAAAGGCCAATCTCAGAATCATATTCCTTTCTGACAAGAGCTTCTGACCCAGACAGCCAACACTCCACAGCGTCATCATCAAGACAACGACTTGACACGGCATTTTCTCGCACTCCAACGAGACTAGTATGCGAATCTTGGTGGTATCCATATACAAATCCATCTTCTTGGCCCCTGAAGGCGTCCATGACAAGTTTGATTCCAGCCGTAGCATTCGCCACAAACACCACATCGAAGTCTTCTGGATCGGCGTTAAAGAACCGCAAAACACTCAAACGGGTATTCTCGATGCGCGAAGTCGATAACTGCGAGGATGTAGAGGCGGAATGTGGATTTCCATATAAATTCGCCATCATGTCCGCCATGTATCTCTCCATAAGAGACTTCGAGTAAAGGGTTGTACCGGCATGATCAAGGTAAACGGCATCTGGAAATTCTATCAGTTTGGCACATATATTTATTTGGGAGGAAACTTACCTTTGAGCATGGGATATTCATGCTTCCTGAATTCTTCTACTGCCTTGTTATACTCCATGTTATTTATACTCAGCTCAAACAACACATGAAATCACTGGCAAATCTCACTTCCTGTGGCAATCAAGGGGGATGTAAAATCGAAGTAACAGACTTCCAAAAACCAATATGACCGTTCATTCTTAACAACGCAGCTAATGAATATAATACTGCGACATATAATGCAATCAAATGTTTTAGTTCTCCCCGCATCGACAACGATAGGACAGCGGAGTTGGCCGCTTCGTCCAGATTCCCCTTCGGCTGAGCATCCATGCGTTCATCAAGGAAATACTGCAGCCTAAGGCACCAACAAAATTGCGGACTTTGCGGACCTCCATACAATTTTTTGGATCGCGAAATATCTCGTCGAGATTTGAAAGTCCATCACCCCTCCAAATATGTTTCGTTCGCGCTTCCCTAGGATAGGGCGCTCTGTGCAGAAGAACTTCTTCAGGAGTATTTCCCAGCATATACCGCCATTGAAACATGATTTCACAAATGGCATTCCTGAATTCATTGGTCCTCAAGCTTTCGAGCTGTCATGGACTTCATATCAAAAACTCATGGTGGACAAATTGAGTGATGCTATAGCGGGTGGGTTATTTCTTATCATTTGGGTTATTTTGTGATTGGTAGTCAAGGCATTCAGTCTGTGAGGGAGTGCTGTTATCTGGAGATACAAATTGTGTGGTTTCCTCTAAAACTGCTGCTAGTGTCCTACGATACAACTTACAATTGCTGCTACATTCTCTACAAGATGCCCTGTAACTGACAATTCTGAAGGAGTTCCCCATCTCGATGGAAAACAACCCAAAGAAATCGCTCTTATGTGTGCGCGAGATCCAGACCAAGCGGCAACTTTCAACTATGCTTCCATGGCATTCAATAACAACTTCTTTTTCGACTGCCTCCAACCCAATCCAACTAGCGAACCCGTCATGTCAGAAAAACTTCGAGCCGCCATCGAGAACTCTTTTTCCTCCGTCGATGGGCTCAAGAGAGAATTCGTCATTACAGCTAGTAAAATGTTTGGACCCGGATTCGTCTGGTTAATGAAGGATAGATTCGATCGACTTTCCTTAATGACTACATATTTAGCGGGCTCACCATTCCCTGGTGCACATCATAGAAGACAACCAAAGGATATGAATACCGAAAGTGAAAGTGTAACGGACTTTTACAGACAAAAGTTGGCGGCACCACCTGTAAACACAGTAGGAGCACATGGACATTTAAGCAAAGAGAGGAAACCACCCGGAGGAATCGAAGCCACACCCATTCTTTGCGTCAATACATGGGAACATGTATGGATTGCCGATTATGGAATGGGAACTGACGATGTAGGAGGAAAGAAGGTTTATGTGGAAAATTGGTGGAACGTCATTGATTGGAATGTTGTGGCGGATCTTGCAGCTTTGTCTGGTAACTCGGCTTCCAAGCTTGAGAGAAATTAGAGATACATAAAAATTCACTCTGCATAAGATATGAGGCGGAGGAAACTACACTGTGGTATATCGGGGAGATGGCGTTCAAGGCATTTGATGTACTATATGTGTGAGGTCTCGACACAACTGCATTTAGAAGTGTAGAATATGAGATGGCGGACCAAAATACTATTATTTATAGCTCACGTTGGAGAGGAAGTACTCTGTTCAACATGCGAATGTTCAATCATCCTGTGCTAGTAGTCCTAAAGAACTTTCCAGGGCAGATTTGACAAGTCATAAGTCTTCTTCCTTCCATATAGATATATATATTGGAACCGAGCTGAAGATTCATCAATATACAAGCTTTCCACTCCACACTGTTTAAGTAATTCCATGGGTCATGATGAGTACATTCTTTGAGTTTTGCTTCGCCAAATTATATCTAGGTACCGAGAGAGTGTCTTCTACCACTCCTAATATCCGGACCAAAACACAACCACTTTGCCACAGCGAAATCATCCTCACTACTCGTCGGCTACTCATCCCTCCCCTTGGCCAACCACCCCCAGGTGTGATTGGCAGAATTCATCGAAATAACCGATGAGTACCGGTTCGAATATTGTAGTGAAGATACAAATATAGATCATAATCAGTCCTTAAACAACGATTCTAGTAGATACCTACCTAGACAATATATCTCTACCTACCTAGGTAGCTATACGCAAAAACGGGAAGTGGAAGCCAGAGATTTTGATTCTAGAGTTCTTCCTAAACTCGTTCTTCTTTTCATTCTCTGTTCTTTCATATCTCGTTTCAGGGCATTATATTATCTTGGTATGATTATACAAATGGAAACGGAGATACTAATTCGTCCCCGAGGAATAGAGTAAGTGATCCATCCATTCTTTCTTTCATTCATACCAACAATCGATATCTCTCTCTCCATCATGTTCACTTGAAAGCAACCCTCCTCCCTCCTCCCCGCTCCTCCTCCTCCCAGATCCGCGCTGAATATATAGATTCCTTTTTAATCTCTCAATGCAGAAAACAGAAGATATCGTCATCATCATCATCATCATCATCACCACCACCACCAGCAACATCAACGTAAACGTAAACATCAGTTCTCTATTCGTGAGATATGATAGATAGACAAGTATATTTCTTTTCTTCGCTGTGCTTCACTTGTGCGCTATTTGTGGGTATATTTGTATCTGTCTACTAGATAGGTGGTGGGTATTCTCGAGATTATGAACAATAGGATGATTTTGGGGATTTGTAATGAAGAACAGGAGAGGCAGATGGGGAAGGGAAGGGGCAAAATTGAAAACAATAAACGCATTGATAGATGGATATACTATCTCCCTATCTCCCTACCTCTCGTCTTTAAAGCTTTCAAGAATTTCCATTACGGAAAAGTATTCTATCGGTATCTACCTACCCACTCTTAATCTAATCAATACTTTCCCCAACGAGTGGAGTACCGTTTATCATAAACTTCTATAAAGGTTTGTGTACTCGAGTATGAAGCATTGTAATACCTATAGGTACTATAGTATAGACCTGTGCCTTACGTAGAGCCTAAAATATGAATTTAGTAAGTGAATTGATTATTAATCGATTGTGAATCACTTCTGTATTTCATCGATTCTGTAATCATTTATTTCTGAAGAGTATGGGATAGTTTTAGATTGGGTTTCTGTTTGGATTGTTGTATAGTAAAACTGTAGGCTGAATCTCCAAGAAACCTCGAAATGGGTATCTATCTACCTAGATAGTAATTTTCAAATCGGAAGGAAAAGTTTGAGAGATTGGAAATTGGAGATTCGAGTGAGTTTGGAGTTAAAAGTTAGAGTATAAGCTTGAGTTTAATTCGTACTCGGGATGATTTACCTATATACATTATGTACTATATACTATACACTAGGAATGAGAATGAGAATGAGAATTAGGACTGAGAATGAGGACGGGATGGGAACGTCGCAGTGATGGTTAGTTAGGAAATGGGATGTGGGATGAGATGGAAAGGGAACGGATGGTGTTATTTTCCGGATAGATATATAGGATAGATATATCAATACATACTAGGGAGATAGAGAGAACTCTCTATTGTTCTGTATATCGCTATGTCAATCGATTCTCCGTTTTCAGATATTATATATATATATATCGAAACTTGAACGGAAATTTATATTCAAAAACAGTTCTCTATCAAGGTTGAGGTTAATACTTAAGAGTCTTCTGGATCTGTCAGGCTCATATTTCTACGCACCAAGTAGGAGTGAACCTATAGTTCTTCAATTTATAAGTCAATACATGTCAGAAACAGAGGCAAAAGAATCAATAGACAGAAGAGGGTTGACCCAACATTGCACCAATCAACAAATCAACACACATTAAACACAGGGTCCAGGCAAAATAAGTTAATCAATCAATCAATCAATCAATCAACAAAAGAAGAACAAATCAAAGTCCAAGTCCAAATCTAAATCTGATTTTGATTTTGGCATTCGCCATATCCACGTATGAATAATTAATGTAAATACAATATAGTAATATAATCTGCCAAAAGCTTAATGCAAAAATGCAAGCCCATTTCTCAACCTCTACTCCAACCGCTTCTCCCATGCCAAAATGCTAAATATCCAAAAATCAAACATAGAAAAAATGCCCCAATCCTTCAAGTATTTTAATTGATCCCCATTCCATTCGTAAAAATTGGATGCTATGGTCATACCATACTTCTGTAATGTGATGCCAAAAAAAAACAAAGGAAATATATCATAAATTAATATCTTGTCATGTATATATATATATTTCGATCCTTCTTTTAACAAATCATTTAGAAAAGATGGATGGAACCCCAGCTTTGCTCACAGCCAAATCCACCTGGTTGTTTCCAGAGGTCGTTAGTGTAGGAGAAGATGGCGGCACGTCCACCACACGACTCGATGATACTGGCAACGGCAGTCTTTTGCTCATCTGCACCAGGGCAAGCTTTTCCGTTACAGGTACCAGCGGAAGGCCATCCGGTCTCGAGGTTAATGGCAGTAAGACCAGGGCAGATAGCATCGGCAAGCTGAAGTTGGGAGAGAGCGAATTTACCAGCATCTTCGGCAGTGACTTCAGCGTTGAAGAATGGGTGAAGGTTAGCACCAGTGATGTCGACGGCGGCACAGAGGACACTGGTATTTTCTTGCCAGATATTGAGAGGCTCAGTGGTGGTGATTTGACCAGTGTATCCAGCACTTGCGAAGGATGATCGGGAGGAGCTAATGAATGCGGCGAGTTCAGAGGCGGTAGTGTGTCCACCAAAGACGGCTTCGTTACCGACAACAATAAGCTCAACGAGAGACCATTGTCCCCATGCAATGAGATCAGTGACTTGATCGGCTGCTCCGGAACATCCAGTCTCGCTAATGAAGATACCGACGATCAATTTGAGACCAGCAAGCTTAGCAGCGTTACCGACGTTCTCGAGTCCGGAGCAATCGGTACTGTAGATACGGATGGCTGTGAATCCCTTGGCGGCAATGAGTGCTACATCAACGGAAACCTCTGCAGCAGTCTTGCAAGATCCAGAATCTTGGTATGGGGAATAAGTCATAGCCCATTGCTTGCCAGAGCTTCCTACACTGCCTCCGTTTCCGGAAGAGGAGGAGGAAGTGGAGGAGGCAGATGGAGATGCAACGGATGATGCAACAGAAGATGAAACTACGGAAGAGGATGGGACAACGGAAGAGGATGGAACAACGGATACAGCGCTCGAGGATGGAGCAACATAAACAGAGCTTGAAGAGGGAGCAACGTAAACTGAGCTAGAGCTTGGTTTTACGACTGATACTACGACAGAAGTCGTAACTGGGGCTGGAGCAGAAGTAGCCTGGGCAGGTGTACCAGCTGGTAAAGTGGCATCAACGATTGTGGAGTATGATGAAGAGTAAGGGCAGAAAACAACCACATTAGTTTCGGTGATGGTGGTGACAACTTCAGGTTGTGTGTAGGTTCCTGGAGCGTAGGAAGCAGGAGTTGGGTAAACCCAAACGGCGGGTTTAGTAACGGTAGTGGTTAATGGGTTGATGGTGTATGTTCCTGCGGATGGGCATACATAGGTGGTTGTCAAGATGGTGCTTGTAACAACACCTTCTGAAGTTGAAACAGCAGCGTATGGGCATACAACTGTTGTGGCAGTGGTTACGACAGTGGTAACACCTCCAACGGTGTAAGTACCTGCAGATGGAAGACCAGTTGATGTGGCACCACAGACAGTGGTGGACTCAGTCAAAGTCACAGTGGTGGCTGGGATGGTGTAGACACCTGGAGTGGGGCACGTGGTTGCCAAAGGAGTGGGGACAACGGCTGGGGCAGTTGAAGCTGGGGCAGTAGGAGCAGTTGATACTCCCTTGGAAGTGGCTGGAGCGGATGAACCTGGGGCAGAAGCTGCTGGAGCAGATGGTGCTGGAGCAGATGGTGCTGGAGCAGATGGTGCTGGAGCAGATGGTGCTGGAGCAGATGGTGCTGGAGCAGATGGTGCTGGAGCAGATGGTGCTGGAGCAGATGGTGCTGGAGCAGATGGTGCTGGGACAGATGAAAAGCCTTCAGCAGTGGTTGCTGAAGATGGTGCTGGTGATACGACTGAACTAGAAGCAACGGAAGCAGCAGTTGGAGCTGGTGGGAAGTATACTAAGATTTAATGTCAGTCAATGTTCAAAAATGATATACTCCATGAATATGAGTATATATGTATAACATATCACATACAATGAGGTTCACCGGTGACGGTAGACCAAACAGTTGTACAACCACATGACTCTGACGATGATGCTCCGGTAGCTAACAATCCTCTCTCATGGAAATCTTGATGACCATGTCTCCTTCCAAGGTCTCTAGCATTAACACCACCTGCAATTGCAGCCGCGACTGCGAGAACTCCGGCCTTCATCTTGTATATGGTAGATTATATTGTATATTAAGAATCGAATTTTGATTGGATGATATCCCCCCACACGATCGATTATTCGTCAGATTGCTCGTAAAGAATGCCCGCTGAAAGAGTGAAGCGGTAGAGATATTTGTTCGGCGATGAAGAGAACGTGAAGATTGACAAAATGAAGGTATTCACAACAACAACGTCGATGAGAGGAGTGAGGAATGAAAGAGAAGAGGGAGGATAGATGAGATAAATAAAAACGTGGAGAGATAATCAGACGGCAAGCTAAACCCAAAGGCCACCAGGACTAGATAAGTTCCAAGACTTCTGAACATGGGTGAGATCCCCCGAAGTTGGGATGGAAAGTGATTGATGGTCAGACTAAGCTCTTTGGGTGTTTCTCCCAAATCACCAACAAGCGATGAATGTTTAAATTT